GAAATGCCAGATGTAGGTGATGGGGAGGAAGGCAGCAAATCACACTGCCATATGTGTACCTATGTAACAATTTTGCATGTTCTTCACATGTACCCCAAAACCTAAAATGCAATAAAATAAATGGAAAAAAAAAGAAAAATTTTAATTACTACAAATTATGAAACCTCCAGGCTGAACACTTATTTTTTAACTTAATATAACATGTTCAGAGTCAGTTCCACCATTTTAATGTTTCTCTCTCTTCAAATACCTAATCGTTACCCTCTTGCTTTTATGACAAAAAGAGTGTGCTTCAGATATATGCCTCATAAAACTCCATATTACAACATTGTCCGGGAGAAATATATTTTTCTAAAATGACTGCACTTACTGTTTGTGTTTCAAGGGCTGTATCAAAATCAACCTTTTTAGTCCCTTTATAACATTAACTGCAACTTTCAACTTTCCCAATCTGAAGGCCAAAAATTACCTGTATACATCTTCATAATATATGTTTAACAGAAACTGGCACTTAAAAACCATTTTCATGTGCTAAATTTAAATGATTCAGAGATATTCTGATTGAATGTTTGAAGTTGATCATTAAAAAAAGACAAGAAAAAGAAAAATGAGGGATGTGTGATGTGTGTTGTGCTTTGCTTCACAAGGAACATTTGGAAATTTGCCTGACCTCTTATTTTTATTTATTTAAATTAACTATGGCAGTATTCATTCCCATCTGGCCCCCAGGCACAGTGAGCTAATTAAAAAAATAAAAGAAACTTCAAAATATCGTTTAAACCATTTTAAATAATTCAGCCAATGCAAGTGTTGAGAAAGCATCATTTGGATTGGCAGAGCAGAACTAGGCTCCAGAGGTCAGCAAATCTGGATTTAGCCACTGCTATGTATTAAAAAATATTTAGATCAGGATGTCCCCAGGAGAAAATGCACTTTCTCCAAAATAATCCTTTAGATGAAATGGACAGTGGGCTGGGCCTAATCTATTTTCTATTTGGAAGCCTTCCCACTCTTTTAGCTCCGGAGCTTAGATTATCAAGTTTGCTAGCAGTGTGGGTGTTTGGTATTTGAGACTCTGCATATTAATCCAATTTGAAATCTTATTTCACATTGAAACACATCCTGACAAAGCATCAACATCCTGTATGCACTGTTCATTCTCTGATAAGTCACTGAACATTTTCCATTTAGTCTGAAACGACTTGAAGCCCACTTGAAAGGCAATACTAAAAGAACAATCGTAATGTCATTTAGTTCTTCTCTCAGTCAACACATACTTTTGCCAGCTTAGGAATGTTGTTTCCCACCATCTGTGCAGAACAGAATTTGAGTTTTTGTTCAGGGTCAGTTAGAATGTGTTTAAAACAGTGCGTATCTAGATTTCGATTCAAGCTCCGAACCTAATTATGCATTGTTTCGAATTTAAAGTGGTTGCACTGAAATCTTTTCTCTTCTGTCATTGACATATTGTACCAAAAAAGTGCAAAATAAAGTTTGGTTCTGTGGTAGGTAGGTCATTGTTTCATTTTTATGGCAATGTAAATCCAACAGCATTTCTTTCAGTTCATTTTGAAGATACAGTCTGAAATAATTTAAGAATCCATGAGAACAGTCATATACACCAGCATACAAACAAAATGTGACTGAAGGGCCTCAATATACTGAAAACAATTTTCAGAGTAACTATTTGAAACTGAGAGTGCCATTCCCATTTTAGCAGATGACAAAACTGAGGCTCAAAAATGATACATGACTATCAAGCAGTAAAGCTTGATTTTGTAACTTAGGCACAGGTCGTGTATAAGCACACGTTGTACTTATTAAATAAATATGTTCCAATAATATTCTCTCATTTTGTACAGAGATGAATAAATTCCTCATAATGCTGAGACTGCACTAGGCTTTTTGCACAGAGAGCAAGGGATGGCAGGAGGTCTTGTTCTTTCAGAATTTTTAAGAATAAATTACAAGGGAGAACACTTAGGAAGCAATTTCTATATTACTATAAGGATGCTATTTCTCAAACATAAAACTAATTACATATCATTTTGTTTAAACAGCTTTGATGTCTCCCTGTGTCTACAGGACAAAGTCTAAATTATTTAACATGACATGAATTGAACCCACATCCATTTACCAATCTTCACCTCTAAAATGCTAATGTCCTTGTGTGTTAGTTCCAGCTACGTTGAACTACTTGTTTCTTCCAGAATGTGACTTCTTTTCACTTTTCTAAAATATTACTCATTTCTCATTTTTCTACCTAGAATTTCCTTCCATCCTTTAAAATGCAAGTACTTGCTTGTCAAGAATTATTTCAAATACTACCTTCTTCACTAACTCTGTATTTTTTCATCCTTCCAGAAACATTTACATGCTTCCAAAATGCATCAGTGGGAGCTCTTCTGTGTGTGTACTTTCTTCCTGGATAGATTGAATTTGGCTAAATTTGACTATGTGGTAAAATAGCAGCCATTCAGTTTTTGCTTTATATATAAAAAAAAAAAAA